ACCAGGGGGCAGATGCTCAATGAGTGCCCACAGGGGGAGCTCCACTCAGCCACAAGCCAGGCTGACAGCTGTGAGTGCAGCAGCAGTCACAAGAGCCTCTCCTGACTCCTCAGCAGTGCTAAGGATGTCCATCTGAAGCTTAGGAGCCATCAGTGGGACATTCCCCGAGGGTTCCTGGGCTGCCAGAGGGATGTCTGACTGCCAGTTTAGGCACAATCCCCGGGGAGTAGGTCTAAGCCAGCAGGTGGATATCCCCCAAGGGTCCCAGACTGCGAGAGGTCACAGGCCGGGCTGAGGGACCCCTTCGAGTGCACAAATTTTTGAGCACTAGGCCTCTAGTATATTATATAATTTTAAATAAGTGAAATGTCCAGAATAATTACATCTATAGAGACAGAAAATAGATTTGTAGTTGAATAGGACTTAGGGAATGGGGTGAAGGGTTGGGGAATGACTGCTAATGGATACAGGATTTATTTTGGGGGTGATGAAAATGTTCTAAAATAAAATTGTAGTGATGTTTGTACAATTCTGTGATAGAAAAATTATCGAATTATGCACCTTGATTGGGTAAAGTCTATAGTATGTGAATTATATCTCAATAAGGCTGTTTTTGTTGTTGTTGTTGTTTTAAAAATGTATTTTATTGATTTTTTGCAGAGAGGAAGGGAGAAGGGATAGAGAGCCAGAAACATCGATGAAAGAGAAACATCGATCAGCTGCCTCCTGCACCCTCCCCATTGGGGATGTGCCCGCAATCCAGGCACATGCCGTTGACCGGAATCGAACCTGGGACCCTTCAGTCCGCAGGCCGACGCTCTATCCACTGAGCCACACCGGTTAGGGCAATAAGGCTGTTTTTTAAAAGTAGAGGGAGTAACATGAATTCATGTAACACTATGAGCACTTGCTGCATGCAAAGCTTTAAGCCAGGTTATAGAGATATTGCAATTAATGAATTAAAATTAATTGATAAGCCCTGCCCAGATAGCTCAGTGGGTTAGAGCATCGTCCTGATATACCAGGGTTGCAGGTTCAATCCCCAGTCAGGACACATACAAAATCAACCAATAAATGCATAAATAAGTGGAAAACAAATTGATGTTTCTCTCTTTCTCCCCCTTCCTCTCTCTCCTAAGAATTAATTTTAAAATAATAATTGATAAAGCTCCTGTCTCGGCACTTACAGTCTAGCACGCGGTGGCACAAAAGCATGAGAAAATAGATCTAGTTGGGGTAACACGCCATTCCCTAAGTCCTGTTATTCAAAATGTACTTTTCTGAGTTAACATTTTAATTTAAATTGTGATTCTTTATGTACTATAGATAATGTCAACATACAAAAAAGCATACTTAATGTGTATGTAAGTAAAGAAAATTACAAGTTATTTATATTTGTCTTTTTAAGCCTAATGGTGGTATTCCACATGATCATCTTGTTCTAATCAGAATGAAACCTGACGAAAATGGAAGATTTGGATTCAATGTAAAGGTAATCTAAAATTTATATTGTACTCAGTTTTTAAATTAAGATGTTTCTAGTTTGCTAATATTTGATTTGCTCTGTTTTTAAGGGAGGATTTGATCAGAAGATGCCTGTGATCGTGTCCCGAGTAGCACCAGGAACACCTGTGAGTTATCTAAATCTCCCAAGTAAACCCTATTTTCAAGAATATGTACTTATTTTAATTAGTTAAAAGAAATAATCATTCTTTTAATTTGTCAAGTATCTACTGTTGTTGGTTGGCTATCTTAAATTGCTGGAAAGTTAGTTTTTATTTATTCCCTGTCTATAAGAGTTTTTAAAATCCTTCTGTTTACAAAGAATCTGGTGTATAACTTTCAGTGCTTCTAAAGTGTAAATAGATCTTATCAGAATAACCCCTTAAACAGCAAAATGTAGACAGGAGCCCTGCTGGTGGGGTTCAGAGGTTGAGTGTCAACCTATAAACCAAGAGGTTATGGTTTGATTACTAGTCAGAACACATGCTTGGGTTGCAGGCTTGATCCCCAGTAGGGGGCGTGCAGGAGACAGCCGATCAATGATTCTCTCTTAACATGGATGTTTCTATCTCTCTCCCTTTCCCTTTCTGAAATCAATAAAAAAATATATTTCTTTAAATGTAGACAGGATGTATGTTTTTTATTTATTTTGTGTGGGGTTTTTTGCTTGTTTTTTCATTTAGAATTGTTTACTTAGATTCCATTTGCCTTCTTATGTTTAAAAAAAACTTATTTTAAATAGAAATAGTACTAGTGATTATTTTTTCTTTATAAGGACAATTTTTAAACTTTTTATTATGAACATTCTAAACAGAAAGGGTGAAAATATTTTAGGTACCCATTATGATGACTTCCCCTGTTCCCATTGTTTAGCTCAGCACTCATGAACTTCATGCTCATCATAAGGACAGCTCTTAATTAATTATGGCTGCATTAGCTTTATTGCTCTTCCATGCAGCAAATATAGCTTTCAAATTTACATTTATGTTGTTGCCTACTTTACCTAAATGGTCTGCAAGGACTTTTCAGTCAGCACCCTTTATCATTTAACTGTCTCCCTGCCCCTAGGAAAGGTATATAAATCAGCAACTTGAGAGAAAGAGATCACTTATGTCTTTTTTGGTGCTTTGCAGCTACCTCAAAGTTAGTTTGAAGATCAGAGTCAAGATTAATTAAGGATAGCATAACATGTTGTTTTGATTTTGAAGGACTTTGTTGGTTGCAAATAATAGGATATTTACTTATGGAAAATCCCTTTCAGCATAACTACAGCTTCTCTTTAGACTCTATCATACTTCAGTTTGATGCAAAAATGTTTTATTTGCAATTTTCATTTTGTCATATATTAAGAGGTGCATATTCAAGGATTGAGATTAATAACTGTTTTTACTGCTTCATCAAGAACAAAAAAAATTAACATAGAGCTACATAGATGTCTCATAAAACCAAGCACAGGAACACCGTTACACCTCCAGAAAGTACTCATCAGTCACTCTCCACTTTTTATCTATATTTCTTATGTGAATGTCCCATTCTTCTCTCAGTGCAAACCATTTTGTACACTGAATCTGCAACATCTCTCAAACCACTTCAAATATATTAGTCTGAATAAAAATAGTGTATTTAGTGATAGGTCAAGTCCTGTAATATCACCACCACCAGACACACACTGCCTTCAGATATAATTATGACTCCTAAATCTCTGCTAAATTGAAATTGTATAGCTACTGCTATTTTGTCCTCAGTCCACATGGTAGGATATGACTACTAGTAACTTCCATATTTATATATTACCAGCTCAGCAACCCAAAACAATTAAGCATGTACAAATTACAGGCTCCTGGGAAATAAACCAATCAGAGATCCAGTTTGAGTCAGATGTCCTCTTTTAAACCAATCTTGAGGTCACAGGGGACAGGACATGGATACAATGTATAAAATTACTCTTGAATCTACTATGCATATGAAGGACGGGGGCAAAGATGAGAAAAGTAGTCCCAAATTATTTATTTAGTATATACTTAATGATAACTATGTATATGTTTTGACTACAGATGAAGAGATAAAAGGCTGTTAAATTCTGATCAAGTAGTAAGATAGATAATGTCTAACATAGAAAACTGAAAAAAAACAAAATAGGGGAGATATGTGGAGTTACTGAGATAAACACAAAAGATGTAGCTAGGATGTTCAAAGAAGTTGACTCTAGAGAGGGGAATGGGAGGGAAGAACACAAGAAATGGTTTTAATTACAACTTAAATATCTATCTTTTGACCTGACAATGAATGGCCTCTAATGAAACAGTTGTGCTAGGGAACAAAAGATATACAAGGATGTTCACTGTAGTATTGTTTATAACAGTAAGACATCAGGGGCAAATCAAATGTACATCATCAGAGCTGGTGAAATACATTATGTGTTGCTTTGCAGCTATTGAAAAGGATGATGTAGCTCTATTCTAGTATGTAGATATGTTCATTAGATATTGTAAAAAATGAGTATTACAATTCTACATTTATATTTGATCCAGTTTTTTAAATGTGAATTATGTGTATTAAAAAGTCTAGATACATGCTTAAAATGTTAACAGTGTTTCATCTGAATAGTGGAATTACTGATATTTATCAATTCTATATTCCTTTTTGAATAGATCATGACAGTGAGCATGCATTGCTTTTATAATTAGAAAATGCAATAAACCTTTTTTATTATGCCAGTTGTAATAATCAGTGAATGACACAAAAAAAGAAATATTGATTTTTCTGAGCAGTGAATGTGGATAGTTATTAATTAAGTCAAGGATGTTCAGGGAACATTCTATAGATATTAGGTTCACTTCCAAACAATTCTGTGACTCTAAATTTTCTTTTTAGGCTATACAGATTATTGGTAAATGTTTCCTTTTTGGCACGTAGAACTGTGTTCCATATATATATTAGCTGAATTTAGGACAAATTAAAACAATAGAAGTTTATCATTTTTATATTATTTTACTAATTTGGAGACCATGACAATCTTCCAATTGGAAACCTCATTTTAAGTGGGGGGGAAAAAGAGTTTTAAATATTTTAATGTTTTTTTATTGTACTCCTTCTGAAATGGATAAAATAATTCCCAATTAAAGTCAAATTTTTGTTCCAATGTGATCATCTTTAAGCCAATAGCTGTTTATGCAACAAAATTTATTTTAATATACAATTCATCTGGACTTTCCAGATCAGAATGAAATGCAAATAAAAAATTATAAACATAACTGAAAAAGCAGATTAAGCATCAGAGAGTTCTTTCCCTTCAATGATAATGGGTAAAAAAAAAAAAAAAAAACCTCTGCATGTTAGATATAGCATTTTGGTTAATACTGCCCTTTAGCCTCAATCCTTTGTTATATCAGTGGCTAAATGAAGGTACAGTTAGAGATTCATCGCTATCTTCTCCTTAGCACATAGATTACCTCCTCTTTTCATTAACTATACTATCCACAAAGTAAGGTGAGAGTATAACTTTTTTCGCTATAACCCTTTTCTCCCAGAACCGTTAATATCTTCCAGTTCACCAATCTTTGGGTACCTTGAAGACGTTTACAAAACTTGGACCAAATTGATACATAAACATATCACACTACTAATACACAGAAGGCGTATAGGACTATCATCTGCTTCACTACAAGAAGGATAGAATAAAGCAACTAGGGAGAATGGTTGTAACCTTAAATTTGAGTTCTCCAGATTTTAACATTTTGCATACTTACATCATTTTTATCTTCACAGCTCTTTATTATTATAATCAGAGCAGATATCTGCTCCATTTTCAGAGTTTCGGGTGTCCAGAGCACACATTTTATAAGCAGTAGAGGAAGAATATGGTTCCCCGACAAGTGTTCTTTTCATTAATAATATATCGTGTTGGATTTTATTGACTGGGCTTATAGTGAATTTGAGTAGTCATGTTTTCAAGTCTTCAAGCTTTTGCAACAGGAAGTTCCTTTTTTGTGTGAGGTCCAGCCCCATCATTTCCTTCTCTATCTGCTCTATCATCCTTCAAACGTTCTTCCCATGCCTCCTTATTGCTGTCCATATTTCTGTTTGTCTCATTTGAATTACTTATTTATTTTCTCAATAAAATACAGGCAGTCATGACTTTGCACAGTAGTACAGGACCATAAAAATGACCATTTAAGCTGAAACTATGTAAAGTGACCTTGATAATCAATGGGGAAAATTATGGTTGTTTCTAAGACCTTTAAATTTTTTCATTAAAATGTCTCTTACTTTCCCTTATAAATGTATAGGGATATGAGAAATAGTAAAACTAGCCCTAGCGAGATGGCTCAGTTGGTGGGAGCATCGTCCCATACACCAAAAGATTGCAGTTTGATTTCCTGTCAGGACACATACCTAGGTTGCTGGTTCAGTCCCAGTTGGGGCACATATGGAAGGCAGCTAATTGATGTCTCTCTCTCCCATTCCCTTCCTCCTCTCTAAAATCAGTGCATGTCCTCAGAAGAGGATAAATAAATAAAATCTGTGAAACCAGTGCTTATTTAAAAAAAATAAAGTAAAATTAATACTGATTTACTGTCCTGTCATTCTAAACATTAGAAACATTGAGAACTTAAGTATTTTATTTCTTCATGAAAACTTATAACAAGTAGTTTGAATAGGCTTGTGCCCTTCTCGTCATATAAATTAAAATACAGAGTGAGCATTTCTTTCTTGTCTTAGCAAATTGTCATAATTCTTTCTAAGTTTGAATTTACTTCCAATGTTTGGTCCTCTGCATTTTTTTAAGTAAACTTTTATTGATTTCAGAGAGAAAAGGAGAGGGAGAGGGAGAGAGAGATAGAAACATCGATGATGAGAGAATATCATTGATTGGATGCCTCCTGCACACCCCCCACTAGGGATCCAGTGCACAGCCCAGGCATGTACCCTAGCCTGAAATTGAACTGTGACCTCTTGGTTCCTAGGTCAACACTCAACCACTGGGCCACTCCAGCTGGGCAGTCCTCTGCATTTTTAATGTTGTAAAATATCTCCAAGATTTCCTTTCATGAGAAGTTTTATGCCAGCATCATGTCCTCAATAAAAACTTCATCCTTTTTATTATACCCACTTTCATCATGTTGATAAGTTCCCCTTCACTAAATCCCCTTCTCTGTATATCTAGAGTCTCTGAGATGGTGGTCCGTGAGGTCCGAAAGGTTGGCGACCACTGTCTTAAACAGTAGCAGTGTATATTTCCACCATCAGCTGTTTTTTATCCATTTTTATGTGGGTTTATTGTTGGGAGATGAGGCAGCAAAAGTATACACTTTGCTGTTTCTGCAGGAACTGAGTAACAGGTGCCCAGCGACAGATCACCAGCAGACATTGAAGGAAGTGATGTGTTGGGTCATTGGTCATGATATATCTATTATTTATGTAGAGAGTTTTGGACTACAATCTAGCAGCAAAGATTGTATTTTATGTGATTATTTACAATTAATACATTCACAGTAGAAACTGAAATTTGCACCTTGTTGTTGAGAGATAGGTGTTACTTGACTAAACTGTAGAAACAGAAATTTGTACATATCTGGATAATGCAAAGTGAGGCCTGACTGTGCCTAGGCATCTCTTATCTGTATGGCTATGCATGTAATAAGGCATCAAGGGAAAAATTGTTGAATGAAAATAGAAAAAAGTATGGTATCTTCATGGGAAAGCTAGATTTCTGTTTGGTTTGGTTTTTTGTTTTTTTGAGTAGATGAATGAATGGATAGATGTTTTTCTATATGTAGTTTTAGTTCTATAGAGTCTATAAAAATAAATTTTTGTGCTTTACTTTTTGAAAGCCATGTACAAATCTGAAACCTTATTTGCATTACGTTGCAGGCTGACCTCTGTGTCCCTCGATTGAATGAAGGAGACCAAGTTGTACTGATCAATGGTCGGGACATTGCAGAACATACCCATGACCAGGTTGTCCTGTTTATTAAAGCTAGCTGTGAGAAACATTCTGGGGAACTCGTACTTCTAGTCCGACCTAATGGTAAGTAGTCTACGTAGCACTGCATAGTTTTCATAATTATTAGTGTTTCTTACTGGAATAGCAGCCAGAGTAGGCTTTGAAACCTAAACCTGTCTTGTCATATCAGTTTCCTGCTCAAAGTATAGTGGCTTCCATTCACACTTGGAGTAAAATGTAAGTTCTTGACCTCCTTGCCTACCGCTCAGCCTTGCTCACTCTGTTCTGTGCTGGCTTTCCTGCTATTCCTTCTGCCTACATTTTGTATGATTTTCCTGATTTTGTATGACTTACACTCTCACTTCCTTCAGGTTTCCTGTCACGTGTGATCCTCAGAAAGTCCTTCCCTTCTGACTACCATAGCTGAAATGGCCTCCTTCTTCTCCCACTTGCTCTAGTAGTAGTAATAGATAATCAATAAATAATTGTTGAATGAATTAGTAAATTTTGAACTCTGTTCCACTTTTAGAAAACTCTGTAACAAGCTACAGTTAAAGCATTTTTTAAGCCTGTCTGTGTTTTTAGTAGAGAATGCCTAGTAGCCTAATCATGTCATCTCCTGCTCTGGACAGCTGATGTGCTAATTCAGAGTCAGGGTCCCAGGGTTGGAGAAGCCCTAATGCTGTAAGCTCTGGCTCCTTTACTGACTGCTTGAGTTCCTCGGTAGCGATCTCAAGAATGTCCTACGGTGCAGAGCACTCAGTAGCTCATGAAGTAGGTCATCCCCCCTTTGAATAGCATCAACTATTAATTTGAACTAAAATCTGAATTCCTTCAGTCCTGTTGTTCCTAAATCTATCACTTTGTGTTATGCAGAATAAATTTAATCCCTCTTCCTTCATTTTTTTGACAATAGCTGATTTTACCAGAAACCCTCCCCCTTTCCTGCAGTTCACTAACCCCAGATCCTTCAGTGAGTGTTCATATGGCATTGTTTCAAGTTCCCTCCACACTGTATCAATCTCCTCTGAAAAAAATTCTTGTATGCCTATATCCCATCATTAGACATAGTCTTCTGGTTTTATTCTGAACAGTTTATTATTAATCATAGTCTTAGCCATAAGAGTAATTATTGGTTAATGCTATATTACCAGTAAAATGTAATTAGAACTCTACCTATTCCCACACCACACCCAACCTTGTAAAAATTGCAAGAAAAAAATACAAAACTCATTTTGCCTGTTGTGTACAAATAAGCATTTTCATTCCATCTTTTCTACTTTGTTTTTCTGCTTTCATGTTTCTCTTCTCTGCGTCCAGTGCGGCTAGAGAGCAGTCCAGTACCTGAGTAGGGGCGGCTGGGGACTGAGAAAATGAACGAAAGAAACAGACACAGAGATGGAAGAAAAAAGCTGGGGCCAGGTGGGACCATTGTCCTCTGATGATGAGACAGGGACAAGGGACCCCAAGCCAATACAGCAACGTATTTAATTTATACAGCAAAAAAACAGGAAGTTTTACTAAAAGTCAAGACAAAGGAGATTATGCGCATTCTTGGGTGGACCCAAGTCGTATTCATTCCTGGTGCTTGGCTGGGTTTAAATAACAAAACCTACCCCCTGGCACCTGGGCTGAAGGTCAAGCTGACAACACTCCTGCCTTTTGGCAAAGGGTGTTTCCAGGACATGGCTTTGCCCAACTGGATTCAACTGACAATAATTAAAGAAATGCCCACGTGCCTTCCCAGGTGCTCTCCACATTCATGATCTGGAATTTGCATTCTAGGAAAATTCGCAGGACTCCAACACAACATTCTATTTTGATTTTCAAGGAACTCATTTAGATCTGATATTTAGGTGATTCATTATTAGGCATTTTCTGTTAAGTAAGCAACTTAAATTTTATACTAAGACTTGAGGCCCGGTGCACAAAAATTTGTGCCCTCTCACAGTCTGGGACCCCTCGGGAGATAACAACCTGCTGGCTTAGGCCCACTCCCGAGTGGCAGAGGGCAGGCCCAATCCCTAGGTGCCTGCCCTGAAGCTCCTGGTCTGGCTCAGAGCAGGGCCGATTGGGGAGTTGGGGCGCCGCCCCCTGTCATGCACAGAGCAGGGCGGATCAGGAGGTTGCGAGGCCACCCTCAGTCACACTCAGGGTAGGGCCGATTGGGGGGTTGGGGTGCCGCACCCTGTCACACACAGAGCAGGGCCGATCAGGGGGTTGGGGAGCTCCCCCCCCACCCCCGTATCAGGCACAGATCAGGGGATTGGGGCGCCTTCCCCTTTCACGAATAGAGCAGAGCGGATAGGGAGGTTGTGGCCCCGCCCCTGTCACACACAGAGCCACAGGGCAATCGGAGGTTTGGGCGCTGCCCTCTGTCACACTGCTCGCTGCTCCGCTGATCCGGGATTTGGGAGGCCTTGTGGCTCCACTGATCCCAGTGCTGGGAGGTATATTACCATTTTACTATATAGGATAGAGGCCTGGTGCACAGATGGGGGCCGGCTGGTTTGCCCTAAAGGGTGTCCTGGATCAGGGTGGGGGTCCCGCTTGGTGGGCTGGCCTGGCTTTGTTTGGCTTCGATAATTGAAACTCTGTTGCAGCTCCAGCTCTGATAGCTGAAAGCAGGTTTCTGGACTTTGTTTAGCTTCTATAATTGCAACTTTGTTTCTTAGAGTGCAAGCTCAGAGCCCAGCAGCGGCAGGCGGGGACGTTGGCTTTCTCCGTCACTGGAGCAAGCAAGCCTCCCTGTTCTCTTCAGCTGGCTGGCTGTCAGCCGCCATCTTGGTTGGCAGTTAATTTGCATATCTCCCTGATTAGCCAATGGGAAGGGTAGTGAAGTTATGGCTAATTACCTTGTTTCTCTTTTATTAGATAGAATAACATCCTCTCTGTTTTTTTTCTCTTGATAACAGATATTAAAGAACATAATAATAATAGTTTTTAAATGTTTTCAATGGACCTGAACTCTTGTATATTCTCATATAATCTTTACAACTATCCAGTGACATATGTGACATCCCCATTTTATAGTTGAGGACATTTTGACACCTAGACATTCAGTTTCTGCTCACAAATTTATGACTAGTATGGACCCAAATATAAACAAAAGTCCATATAATGGAAAAGTCTTAGCTTTTTTGCAGTTCAAATCACCTCATTTATACTTTAAATCAGGAGAGGAACCCTCCTAGGTCTTGACAAAACATCTTTCTATTATTATTTAATGTCAAAATCTGGACAAGACCTGTATTCACTTTCAGGGTCTACCTTGTCCTTTTTTTACTTAAAATAACAAACAGCAGGTCATCGAATAATGTTTCATTTAACATCTGATATAACATTGATGAGAAAAAGAAAAAGATTCCTGGCCAGATCACTGTGTGAAGTTTCCACATTCTCTCCATGTCTTCCCGGGTGTTCTCTGCTGACTCGGGCTCCTCTCACATCCCAAAGATACGCACGTGAGGTGAATTGACGTTTCTACCTTGTCCTAGTCTGAGCGAGTATGAATGGCCCTGTGTGAGTGGCCCTGTGATGGAAGGGCATCCTGTCTAGGTGCCCTGAACTGCCAGGTGAGGTTCTAGCCACCTGCGATCCTGAACTAAAATAAGCAGGTTGGAAAATAATTATTTTACCTGTTTTTATTTTTATTAAATTTGTGAATAGCTCACATTTATTTCAATGTTTAATATTAGAAGTAGTATCAACAATGTTAAGTGAAGACTTACTGCATGATCAAAATTTAAAATTACGTTTGCCAAAAATATCAGAAAAAGAGTTTCTCTTCTTCTGGTATTTTCCCCTTTAAATCTTATTTCTTTTTAGACAATATGCATTCATTCCTTTTTGCTTTTTTGTTCTTCATTTCCAAAATTTATTCTTCCCAAAAGTACATTCATATCTGAGCAGGAACCAAAACTCTTAGTCAAGGATATAAGAGACCCCTAGCTTGACTCCATTCTTTAGAGGGCTGTTTTCTGTCTCTCCTTCAGTCTTGCCTTCCACCACCACCACCACCGTGGGGTCAGGATTTTGTAGGAGCAAGGGGACATGCCAGGGCATCACCTGTGACTTCCCCATCCTTCCTAAACCACTATTTTCAACTTTCAAATCTCTGTCCAAATAGCTGTGATTCTGTGTGCCCGTTTTCCCCAAATCCATTCTCCCAAGGTGGCTCACATGATGTGTGTAGACTTAAGGGGCATGGCTACTAGTAAGATGCAGCAATTTGCAGAGAGTTGTAAACAAGCTTACATATGGATTGGGATGTTCATGGGAATGTTCATATTCTCCCATGTTAAATAATGTATCTGAGGGCAAGAAAAGAAAGAGGGTAGACTACAGGCCAGGGTCTAGGCCCTAGGGTCTGTCTCTCCTCACACTGCCTTGGCCATGAATTCTGGCCTAGGTTCTCATTTGAAATGCACACTCCCAGGTTGTTTTGTAAATATGTCAAGGAGAGGATAAAACATGTTTTGTTTAGAACTCTGTTTCCTTTATAACCATTCGTATCTAGACATATAGTATATAGGCTTCTATTTGTACTCTTGCCTTACGTCCCACAAATAGGGCAGGTCTCTTCAGAGCTGCTTCTTGGCAGCTCCTCTTTTTCTTAATGTCTCTTCAAGTTATGGAGATTTTCAGCAATTACAGCCAAGAACCGTTCTTTTCCTCTAAGGTGCGGCAAACTTCTTCGTCTCCACAGTCACCGTTTGCCCCTACACCATGACATCAGACTCAGATCTGATGAATTATGAATAAATAAATTATTTTTCCTGACACATAATTAAAGAATAAATCTGGTAAATTCTTTTCCCAATTCATTAAGTTCTTCATGTGTCTTTATTAAAATTTTTATTTTATTTTTTTGTCTTAGCTGTCTATGATGTAGTGGAAGAAAAGCTAGAAACTGAGCCAGACTTCCAGTACATTCCTGAAAAAGCCCCACTAGATAGCGTCCATCAGGATGATCATTCCCTGCGAGAGTCAATGATCCAGCTAGCTGAGGGGCTTATCACAGGAACAGTCCTGACACAATTTGATGTAAGTAATATTGTATGGTTTCTTTTTTTTTAAGATTTTTCAAATTTTGATATTTAAAGAGAGAATTGGGAAGGAGAGAGAGAGAAATATCCATCCCCGATGGATCAAGCCTGCAACCTGAGCATGTGCCCTGACAGGGAATTGAACCAGCAATCTTTCAGTGCACGGGGCTACACCCGACCAACTGAGACACACCAGCCAGGGCAATATTATATGATTTCTTTTTTCTTTTTCTTTTAATTGATTTCAGAGAGAAAGGGAGAGGGAGAGAGAGATAGAAACACCAATGATGAGAGAGAATCATTGATTGGCTGCCTCCTGCACTCCCCCTGCTGGGGATCGAGCCCGCAACCGGGCATGTGCCCTTGACTGTAGTAGAACTTGGGACCCTTCGGTCCGCAGGCCAACGCTCAATCCACTAAGCCAAACCAGCTAGGGCTGTATGATTTCTTAACTGCCTTAATTATCAGTTATAATTTACAAACTAAAATGGCATTCTGAGAAATATTTGAGAATAGTTCTAAAATACAAAGTTTTAAAAATTGCTCCCAAAACACTAGCTATGGTTACATAAATAGATGTCTACTTAAAAGAGAAAAATAGATTTTTATGCATATGTCCTCAAACTACATTTTTTTCTGTAATTAAATAACTGTTTTTGTGAAAGTTGGCAGATGAAGATAGGCAATTGCAGACTTAAAAATCCTAAGTTAAAGGAAAATAACTTGAACCTTGTAATATTTCATTTTTGTCAGTGTAGTCAGCCACTGACAAATACTGAAGTATATGTTACAGGTAACTGACTAAAACATTTGTGACTAAAAAAAATTTAAGGTCTGTCAGTTTTGCTTGTTTCTTTAAGTTCTGGGTTCATATACTTTAAATATCTACAAAGTAAATAAAAGCTAAATGTTTTCTGCAGATTTTCTGTTCAAAACTTCAGGTACTTTTTGCTGTAAGAAAAATTATCTTCGTTTATTTTGCCAATCTCTAAATCAGTGGTTCTCAGCCTTCCTAATGCTGCGATCCTTTAATACAGTTTCTCATGTTGTGGTGAACCCCAAGCATAAAATTATTTTTGTTGCTACTTCATAACTGTAATTTTGCTACTGTTATGAATCATAATGTAAATATCTGATATGCTATATGTGTTTTCCGATGGTCGTGACCCACAGGTTGAGAACCACTGCTAAATTATGATATACAATTCATATCAGAATTTGTACAGAATTTAGCTTTGCAAATCTGGTTTAATATCCTATCAGCCTAAGGTACATCATTGCATAGATGAGGTATTCTAAGGAAAAAAAAACTTGTTTCATAGCATAGGAACAAGTCAGAAAAACAAAATGATAACTTTTGATGGCTTGCTGATCGCGTACCTTTTTGTTTTGTTTTGTTTTGTTTTAGCAACTATATCGGAAAAAACCTGGAATGACAATGTCTTGTGCCAAATTACCTCAGAATATTTCCAAAAATAGATACAGAGATATTTCGCCTTGTAAGTATCTATGATTTCTGTATGTTAGGCTTTAGTCTTTTTAACATAACTTTACTAAAAAAAATTTTCTTTTGAAATTTTTTCAGATGATGCTACACGGGTCATTTTAAAGGGTAATGAAGATTATATCAATGCAAATTATATAAATGTAAGTTTATTTTTATTATATCATTGGTATAAGAAGGGCCACTATAAACTGAGATTTATTACTTTTTGTTAAAAGCCTAACCTTGAGAGAATATTAAAACTTTTACATATTTTAAAATATTATAAAATTAATGTTAAAAATAGTTTGATACTGGCATATTAATATATACATAGAAGAGTGAAATGGAATAATCTAGTCTAGAAATAGGCTGAAATAAAGACGAATTTTGTTTACGGTAGAGATAGCCTTTTAAATTATTTAACACATTGTATGTGGGAAACGTATTTATACGTTTTACGTTGACTGGTAGTAGAGCGGCGCAGGACACGTATTAATACGTTTTTTATAGACTAGCGGTAGAATGCGGGTAACATATAAATACGTAAACTAAAGTTATCGTAATTTTACTGAACGTTGCCATTTGCACAAAAAATTAGCAAAAATGGCCCGCGCCACCTGTTAGCGCACGATAAAAACTACCCGCAAACAATTTAAGGTAAAACTGATGATCTAGTAAATGAATTAGGTCTGTCTGGAATATACCATGGTAAGAAGGTCTCCTCCCACCCCCATGGGGCAAAAAGAGGATTACTATTTTTACTTTGTATTACAGAAAATTTTAAACATACATAAGTAGAGAAAAAGTAAAATGAACCTCCTTATACATATGACTCAGCTTCAACAATTACCAACTAATGGCCAACTTTGTTTCATCTATCCCCCCACCGTGCCCTCACACACCCACATTGTTTTGGAACAAATCCACACATCATATAATTGATCTATAAACACTTTACACATTCTTGAGGCCAGCATACAATTTAGGTGTATCAAATACAAATGTATGAAATGGACATGAAAATACTTGGAGGAATATGTGAGAATTGTTTAAAATCTCAGACGGGAGAAGGCTTTTCTAAGCTTAGGTACATGTCTGAGCTATAACAAAAGATTGATGAGTTGGGCAATGTATAAATTTTAATTTGGGGGATGCTTTGAAAAGTACTAAAATGAAATGACAAACTGAATTTTTTAAACAGTATAAAGGGCTTATTTCATCAATATATAAAGAGCTCTATAAGTCTCCGCCACCGCCGCTACACTCACCAGCTGTGAGCCCGCTAGTGGCTGAGCGGCACTCCCCCTGTGGGAGCACACTGACCACCAGGAGGCAGCTCCTGCATTGAGCGTCTGCTCCCTGGTGGTCAGTGTGTGTCATACTGACCGGTTGTTCCGCAGTTTGGTTGATTTGCATATTAGCCTTTTATTATATAGGATGGCCAATCTTGTTCCATCTAAACACTACCCCCCCCAGATTTATTTAAATCAAATATATCACTTTTTGTAAATACAATCAATTCTTGTTATTTGTGATAGTCTATAAAGTCTTCATTAACCCTGAATTAGCAAATACTGAATCCTTGCTGCAAGGGAAAAATATATGGTATGGTTCCCATGAGCCTCTATTTGCAACATTTTTGTCAGTTAATCAGTACATAACCTTGCTTCTGTTTAAAGATACCTTATTTAATACACATTGTTGATTAATTAACATTGAACTCACACCCAACAGCACTATAACTCATGTCTGAAAGAAGCTTATCTAATGTGTATTTTCTCCATAAGGCATTTAATGGCCTCTTTACACTTAGAACAGTAGGCAGCACTTTAGCACTTGGGGACTGTTTTAAACAGTGAAATCGCTAACAATAAGCACAGAAATTTTAAAACATAGCACGACATAGACTGTAAAAAGGGCAGTTGTTTAAGTATGAGAGCAGAAGCAAGAAGGCAGAACAGCAGCATCTTACCAACATTACCAGGAAATGTACACTTTGGCTGGCTCAGATTTTTTACCTCTTTGGACATGTCTATAAATAACCATGAAAGCTCTACAAGCACTTTGGGGTTACAAATAAATTTTAGCAAGCAGGCAAACTTTCAAATACAAAATCTGTGAATAGTGATGATTAACTATTTTAGTATGTATCTCTGGGGACCTTTTTTATTTTTATTTTTTTAAACAAAACCACAATACCATTATAACACTTTAAAAATTAATACTAACAGTCAAATAAAAATACACTTTTCTTAAAATGAAAAATGCAAATCAAAACTGCAAAGAATTACCATTTTTTACTTATTAAACTGAAATGTCGGAAAGTTTGATAATACTATATATAAGTCTATATCTTTTATCTAAAAACTTGAGATCAAAGATGCTTCAGAATTTAGAAATTTTTGGATTTTTTTAAGGTTATTAAGTGCATAGATCATATATTATATAGGTAATATCCTTAGCAGGCTATAATGAGTATATTATATTCAACATGCCAACTATAGATATTTCCAGTAACAGTCTTAGATGAGATCAACTCAGATGTTCCTGTCAAATGAGTCCAGATTAGGTCAGGTGTACCAAAAGAAAAAGGCAGAGTTACACTTTTTATTAAGGACATTATCAGGAAACAATCATTTCTCATACATTATGGTAAAAGTATAAATAGGTGCAATCTCTTTGGAGAGCAATTTGGTGCTCTCTGACAAAATTCTAAATGCACACATACCTTGATTCAGCATTGTCATTTCTTCCTTTTGCCCACACAAATAGGTTTCTTGTAATGTGCCCAAAAATTTTAGGTTTGCAAAAGTATTCAGTGCAGTTTTGTTTATGATAGCAAAAAGATTAGCAGCAACTTAAATATCTTAAATAAAGTATGATATATTTATATAGTAGAGCCACTAAAAAGAATGAAATTTTTTTACTAATTTGACATGATCTCAACGATAGAGTAGAAAAAAAGAAAATGGCCCTGGCCAGTTTTGCTGAGGGGTTAGAGCATTGGCCCTCAGACCGAAAGGACTCGGGTTCGATGCACAGTCAAGGGCATGTACCTTGGTTTCAGGTTTGATTCCCCAGCCCTGGTCAGGAGGCAACCAGTTGATGTATCTCTCTCACATCATTGTTTCTCTCTCTCTCCCTCTCTCTCTCTCTCTCTTTCTCTCTCTCTCTCT